ATCACTGGAAAAGGTGTCATGCCCCTAAAGCTAGGAGGACTAGTCCCAGCAAGAGGCTGCAAGGGGACTGGGCCAGTGCTGGCTAGGGATGGTGCTGAGAGAGAGAGAGAGAGAGAGGAAGCACTGAGGCCTTGGCAGCCTTGTGTGATTATAGAGAGAGCAGCTGGAAAGCCAAACTAGAGAATGTGAAAATCTCTCAGGGTCTGACCTCCTTGAAAGCTGGGGACATTGATATTTCTTACAGCTGACCCCTTGAGGTTAACATTTGGCAGTCTTATGTGAAAATTCTTTTAATGGCCCCCGTGTTTCCTCCCTAGGACCTGCCTTATGAAGACCTCACTATCCTCTCCCAACATGGAACTGGCGGCTTACTGTACCTCTGCCTGTGCATGACTGTAGAGTCTCCAGGCTTTGGCTTGTGTACCCTGCTCAGCTCTATGAATCTTTGGTGCAGGGTGGGAAACCCTCTACACTTTTTCCACTCCAGAATGACTTGAAGATCAATTTGAGGCCTGGTTAAGACCTTGATGATACCCTTGCAAGGGCCATTGTCCATAGTGCATGTTTCTGGAACATGTGCTTTTTGGTGATAAGACATTAAATGAAGAAATTCCATCCTCAACAGTTTTCTGGAAATTCCATCCTCAACAGTTTTCTGGCTTGAGTGCTAAGCATTCAGAAGGGAATGCTGAAGACATCCTGGGCCAAACATCTACATTGCAGACAGGTGTCCTTTAGCTGACTGACAGCATCAGGAATTTTATTCTGGGCCCTTGAAGGGTATCTCATGGGGCAAACAAGGTTAGCATGTTTCTGGGCCTATAGGGAATTGGGATGCCGACTTCAGGGTCTCACGCCTCACTTTGGGAGGTTTTTTTCTGAATTAGCTATCTTGTAAATGCAGGCAGAAGCCCCCTCACACAGCTGCTGTACACATCTCGCAGCTCGATTTGCATCTAAATGGTGTTTCAGATATACTACTGAAAAAAATGACGGGGTGCCATTCCCGAATTCCTCCAGGTTCTCCTTGTCTACTCTCTGCTAGGCAGGGTGAACATCAGCTTGGCATCTGGGAAGATCTGGGTACCCGCTAGGAATATAGCTCAAGTTTGATGAGCTCAAACACAGTATTTTCCTTATTTCAAAGAAACTGGCCAACAGATATTGCAAGGAAGCCACTTACCTATGCAGGTCTTCTCATCTTCACCCAGCACGTAGGGGTCTGTGCACACACACTGGAAGCTTCCCTTGGTGTTCTTGCACTTTGCAGAGGGGTGGCAAGGTGGGTGTGTCAAATCTGTGCACTCATTCACATCTACAGGAATAAAGCCCAGCCACTAGTGTGTGTGTGTGCATGGGAAGACCCAATGTCCCTAGCCCCATGTGGCAGACCCTTCCTTTCCATGCAGTTACCACCTAGGTTCTTTCTTGGTATCAAGAATGTCAGTGTACAGCCATGCTGCCTTCATGCTCCCTGTGCTTGTGAGTCAGCTGCAAAGCACCTTAGGACTGGGTCTGTGACCAGGCCTGTCTCACCAGTTCCTGTCGCTCGTGGTCCAGCTGTGTTCCTTTGGCTCGTAGTCTACCTATGTCACTGACAACTCTGTCATTTAAGCCTCCACTGCCTTTTCCACACAAGCATGAGCCACCAACTGTCAGCTAAACTTGCCTTTCATGTCTCGCTGTGTAAAGACTGTGACTCTGACCATCTCGGCCACAGTGTGCAGGGCAAACTGTGCCTGTGGAAGGTAACAGATGACAGACCTTATGCCCTTCTCTATTTCTCGATGAACTGGGGGATCTTATTCTTACTTTTCCGGTATGCATTTCTTTTCCGTGGCTGCCACAGGAATCACCACAAGCTGAGAGCCTAAGAATAGAATCTGGTTTCCTTTTGTTCTGGAAGCCAGAAGCTTAATGAATGGAGCCCTCTACAGGCTCCTTCTTTGCCTCTCCCTGAATATCTCCAGGTGTGTTGTGTCTTTTAGACTCATTGTAGTCCCCAAGTTTCTCCAACTTTCCTGCCTCGATGTCTTTCCTTGTAAGGACCCAGGAACCTGGGTGAGGACCTACCGGGAGCATCTGTAAAGATTCTAATTTCAAACAGGGCCACATCCAGAGATACTGAGGCTTAGGACTTGAACTTAGCTTTCTTTGGGACAACAGTCAACCTCAGACTCAACATGGTCAATTGGTTCTAAGCAGAAGTCACTCCAGTGAGTTTGGGACCATGCACACTCTGAGCTTCCTTGCAGAAGGTTAACTCCGAGAAGTGTGCTGCAAGTCTACCCTGAGAGGAGACTGGTATTCTCCACAAAGGAGAAGAGAAAACATGTGGAGGTGGGCCACCTTATTAGAACTCTAGTGCCACCTGCGTGGAGGACCAAGGCGTTGTTGTATGTCTGATAAGATGGTGATATTTCTCAAGAGCAGCAGGTTGGGCTCTCAGGTCACCATGGAAATATCTCCACTGATCTGTTTGACCCTGGAAGTAGACAGAAATATCTGCACCCATCTCCTACACACATATTGTGTAACAATTATGAAAAGCTATAGACAAGCAGCTTCTATCTACTGAAACCCACAGCTTGAACACGACTCATCATATACCTCAACTGGATTTTCCTCTCAGTTTTACATGGGTGGTGTATTAGTTACTTTTTTAATGCTATGATGAAACACTGTAACCAAGGTAACTTACAGAAGGAAGGTTTGGGGCTGGTTATCATTCTAGAGGGATAACAGTCATCACCATCATGGCGGGGAAGCATGCCAGCAGGCAGTCATGGGGCCTGTAACAAGCCACCAGAGGACAACTTGGAATGGTGTAGAACTCTCAAAGCTCACCCACAGTAACACATTCCAACAAGACCACACCTCATGAACCTCCCCAAACTATGACTGGGGACCAAATTCTCAAAAGCCTGAGACTACGGGAGGCATCTCATTCAAACTACTACATTCCACTCCCTGGCTGCCATAGGGTCACGGCCAAATCTTAATGCAGATTGTGTTTCATCTAGCTCCAAAAGTCTCCATAGTCTTTGAGTCTTAACATGATTTAAAAGTCAAAAGTCTGTGTCTCTTCTGAGACTCAAGGCAATCTCTTACCTATAAGAGATTGTAGTCACTGTAAACTCAAACACAAATTGCATGCTTCCAACATGTGATGACACAGAACATAAGAACATACATTGTCCTTCCAAAAGGGAGGAATGGCGGTGGAGTGAGAAAGTAATAGACCAGAGCGAGACTAAAACCCAACATGGAAAATACCAAATCCCATAGCTCCGTGTTTGATGTCAAAAGGCCCTTGCAACTTTGCTGCCCACAAGATCTGCCCAATCTCAGGCTATTTCCATGCCCTGTGTGCAGTTCTCTTTGGCAGATACTCATGGCTCTGACATCTGAAACATCTTGGTGTCTTTACTGAAACACATGCTTTATTTTTACAGTTTCATGCAATGGCCTCTCAGGTACTCTTGCTTTCTTAAGGACCTTTGTGCAGGGACACCCCTGCCACAGACTGCCTGACCTCAACAGCCCTCAGAGACTGTGGAGGGAGAGTCCATGACCTATTTACTCCCCACATCTTACATTACTCTGAATTCAGCATCATGTAGGTGGTAATGCCACATTCAGCTACCAGTCTGGGATGAACCCTTGAACTCTTGAGCCACGTATGGAGCAGTTTTTGCTGGTTTTCCTTCCTAGGCCTCTCACTTCCACAAGCCTTCCCTTTGTTCTAATGCAGACAAGGCCTCGCCTTGTCTTCCTGTCCCTTCCATCACAAGCCTGGGTTGCAGTTTTAAGTTTCCTGGTGCTCTTATTCTCTTCAAACTATTTTGCAAAGTATTATCTCTTCAAACTTTTGTCTTACTTTCTCATTTTCATTGCGGACATACCTAACAGTGATTACTCATCACCATGTAATAGCATCAATATCAGGCTTTCCTATAGTCTTCAACAAATGCCATTGCCTTTAAATTCAGCCCCAGGCAAGTTTGTAAGACAAAGGCAGAACACAGTCAGGATGTTGCCGAAATCTCACAATAGTATCATTGTCACCTAGCATCTATTAAGACTGCCCGCGATCTATATAGCTTGCACCACTACTGCCTCCCAAGCTCCCACCAGGGAGGTCATTAAAGCTCCACTGCAGTATCCACCACTTTTCTAGTTCACAGCTCCAAAAATTTCCACATTTCTCCTAACACCAGCGCGATCATGGCCGACACAGCAATAGCCCACTCCCTAGTTCTAGCGTATGTATTCACTACTTTATGCTATTGTAATAAAACATTATAATCAAGGCAGCTACAGAAGTAAGGGTCTGTTTGGACTGATTCTAGAGGGTTAATACTCCATCATGGTAGGGAAGCATAGCCGCACGGCATGGCAGCTGGGACAGCTGAGAGCTCACATCTTGAGCCTTAAGTACCAAACAGAGAGAAAACTGCAAGTTTGTCCATAGTGATACACTTCCTCCACCAAAGCCACATCCTACTCTCTCCAAATAATACAACCAACTAAGGACCAAGCATTCAAATGCCCCAGATTCTAGGTTTTAACTCATTCTGAGCATCACGGCTGCATTTTAGTGCCTAGATGGAATTTGAGCAGAAAAGATAAAATAATCTCTCTGGATTTCCTATGGTCAGTATTCAGCTTGCTGCTCTCCCTTCTCTAGTGAGTCATATGGCTAGGCACACTGGAGATCAGTGAGATACATCTTCATGTCAATGTACAACAAAAATATTTAGTCTTTCTTTTTAAAGATATGTTTTGTTTCCTTGTGAGTCCTTCTTTGGGTCCATGTAGTTAGAGGTAAGATTTAGTGAGAACTCCTGTACATGTAAACACGTCTGCTCCTAGAGTGTTTCCTCAATGCACCTTCATGACTTGCATATAAGAACATTATAAACAACAATAAGCCAGAAAACATGGCTCATAAAATGAGGACTCCCTTCCTTCTTCCCATCTTGCTCTGCAGACACGCCTCTAGTTCTAAGGTCTCAGCCTTGCAATGCTCTCTGCAAACTCACAAAAACCTTTCCCTGCGCAACACATGCAAACAGGTGTCCTTCCTTCCAGATGAATCAGAACGGATTCCCATCAAACATGCCACTCTGATGGCTGTGTGTTTGTTCAGTGGTGTATCTTAGGTGAGCTCGGCTCTACAGTCCTAGCCGACCCTCCTTCATATATTCAGCACGGTATTTCACAGTGTGCATACATTCATTGTGGGGGCACTAGGCCTTGTGTTTAATGTTGTACATTAATTTATTTAAATAGGCAACCCAGGAGTTGGACTCCATGACCATTCTCACTGTCCACTGGTAGGGTTGGAGGCAGGCACAAGCTGAGTGACCTCAAAGGGCAGAGTAATTAGTTGCTGAGAGCTATTCTATTGGGAGTCTGCTAAGTTACTATACGGAGGAACGAGGCCATGGTCAGTGCTGCTCAATGGGTGTCTCACCCTTCCCATGCTGGGCCTTTGCAGTGACGTTTAAACCATGCCAATCCGATCTCAGAGTGGTTGGCCCTGAAGGGCTGCTGGTCTGAAAAGAGGATGTCATTTCTTCTTGTCCCAGGGTCTACATTGTGAGCTCACTTGTTGCACGTGGAGGCCATGCCACCGGAGTTTTCTACCAACAGGAGCACCTGGGCAGCTCAGAAATGAAGTCGATGGCTACTAAGTCCTTGGTACCTGCTGACCATGGTACTCACACTTCCTTAACTTTGGGGAGCCAGGGACTGCTAAAGTGAAAAGTCGGGATAAAAAAACAGCCAAAGGGTGTGGGCTGGGGACAGAAAAATGATTTCTAGGACAGAAAACTGTCTGGTGGAAGCAGAAGGGGTGTGCTTCTCTTAAGAGCTCAGCAGAGGGGAGCCCTGTGAACTGTCACATCGGCTCACGTCCGTCAGTGATCAGCTCCAGTAGTCTGAGGACGGAAAATTTCCCTCAGCTAAGCTTTTCTTTGCAGTTGAAAATCCTAAAACAAATTGCCCCAGTGAGCTTGTTTTTAAACTAAATGAAATAAGGTATATAAGAGAGCCTGGTCATTCATAAAGTATCACTGTGCCAAACCCTAAGGGTCACACCCTAACAAGACACCGCTAGTGGGAAGAACAAGGAATCCTGGCCAAGTGAGCATTTCTTGTTTGTTTGGTTGCTAAGCCGAAACAGCACGGAGGCTTTCATGTTTGACACAATGAAGATTAACTATACAAGGTGATAATTCAGAGTGATCTAAGTAGCGGTTGTCAAAAACACCTGCACACAGATGTTGGCACTTCATAGAACAGCTGGGCTTCTGTCACTCGTTCTGTGGGCATTGTTTCTGGCAGAGGATCTCTGATGATGTTCTAATGATAAAGTCCTTTACCTTGTCCCCTGGCCCACTTTGCTCATGATTAGACCCAAAAGAGAATTGGGGGAGTGTGTCAGTTCCAGGCCTTTACAGCTCACTTTCTCCTGGTGCAAGACTGGAAGAATGGGACTGCATGTTCACATCCAAGTTTCCAGCCCAGGTGGGTGCTTTCTGGAAAGAGCTCTCATCTCTTCCATCAGTGGTGGCCTTTGGACCTATTGATTCCTGGATGGCTCACCTTGATGCCAAGTATTTTCCTAGCTCTGCTTCTTCTCTTCCTTGTCCTGCTCTCTCAGGCAACAGTTGTGCCCTGGGGGGGGACCCCATGTGACTACCTGCCATGGTGTGCATGCAGAACACAGGAGTCAGCATGGCTAGGGCTGAGATGTGGCCTTCTGTCTCCTGACTGCTCAGAGTTTAAAAGTGAAGATTATTTTAACCCTTCAAGAATGAAGCATTTTTGGATTCCAAAGGTTAAATGAAATGCTCATCTTTGTGGCAAAGGAGATATAAACTAAAGTTCACTCTCAAACACTGGACATGGGACACTCAGAGGTGTCTGGTATGGTTACAATGCCATGTGAAGTCATTCCACCTATCCACTGCACACAAACCAGCCAAGTTCACCTGTGCGTTCAGAGACTTTGCTAAATGTGTATCACAGCAAGCAGGTCATAGAAGGCTGACTCTGACAGCTACTCCTTCTGTGGGACCACTTGGTGTGCAGGGTCTGTCTTCCATTCAGGAGTTGATCAATCATAGGACCGCTGGACACCAAGTTGAATAACGCACCTTCTCTAAAAGCAGGCCTCCCATGTCCTGTCTCACTGCTCCTGTCCCTTGCAGAAGAGCCACTTACAGGAGGAAAGATTTTAAGTAAAACAGAAGACACTAGTTACTGTAGCTATAAGTCTTGTTGGCAAGGGACTAGATACCATCTTATTCTCTCTCCCAAACTTGTCTCTTTACAGGTTGAATCCAGGACACAGACTCTTCCAACAGAGGCTGACACTCTTGCCAACTTCCCAAGCATCTTAGGGGCAATCCCTACTTTGCAAACTCACAACAGGGAAGTGGATGGTGGAAGCCAGGAGGGCCCGGAAGTGCCCATTTCTTTCTGCTCTCCTATTACTGGCTGTGAGAAGAAATGGGAAGTGACTGCCTGAGTATGAGGAGTCCAAGAATATAGCTGGGAAGGCAATGCTCAAAAGGGGGAGATAGTTTTAGATCTTTCTATGGGTGCCTGGAGTGAGAATCTTCTCTGTTAATTTGGGGAATTAACAGAACACCCTCAGTTTTTTCCACAGACTTGTTAAGAATTAACTGGCTCTTTCTTCTCTCTTTGCCTAAATCACCACAAGTCCAGATTCGAAGTGACTGTCTGCATGTTTTGCCATCTAAAGAAAGCAATGGAGTGTGACAAATAGAGAGAGAGTCTTCTCTTTCAGTGCCAGAAAATCTCTAGGGATACACATGTGCTCACAAAATGTCCTGGTGAAAAATCTGATGCTCTCCTCTGGGGAAACACAGACTGTTGTTCTGTAATTGCTGTTAAACTCCACACCATGTGACTCCACTGACCTTTACAGACAGGAGGCTCCGAGTCCCAGCCTTTCTGGGTGCATGTGACCTGCTCCTGGCCTTGCAGCTTGTATCCATGGAGACAGGAATATACCAGGACCAGCTTCCCAGACTCTTCACAGTGCACAAAGTTCCCATTGTCCACCTTGTCTGGGAAGATGCACTTGTCATCTATGGGATGTTGAAGGTTAGAATTCAATGAAACCACAAGAAAGATTCTAGACCGCCAGCCCTGCTGTGTGTTGGGCTGCAGCCCTCAATAGAACTTCATTTCCCAGTGCCTTGTATCTGCATAGCATTACATTGGGAGATGGAGGCTGCCGAGAGGAGGTTTCCTTGGCCCCTGGTCTAGAATGGAAGTGGTTAGTAGGTTTGTATGCGTGTCTCTCTATGGGCATATACAGCATGCCTGTGTCTCTGTTGGAAAATGGGTTCCAAGCCATGGAGAAGTGCCTGCCATGTAGCTAATTCTTTAGCTCCTGCTTGAAGACTGACATGGTACAGAACTGATGTCATATAGTTAACAAAAGAGTAATCATTTGGTGTGGTTGAGAAAATTCCTCAGTTGCTCAAGCGCTTGCTGTGCAACTGTATGGATCAGAATTTAGATACCCAGAACCCACATAACAGCTGGACGGGCCTGGCACCATGGTGCTCTGACCAGAATCCCAGCACACACAGGCAAAGACAAGGAGTTCCTAGAGCAAGCTGGCTAAGCAGACCAGCCAGTTCTAGAGTCATTGGGATGTAATATAAGACAAAGAGATCGAGGACACTCAATGTCAATGTCAGGCCTCCAGACGCACATGTGTACAAATCTGTGCCCAAATCTATACACACATGAATACACACAGCATAATATATCATGCACACACATTCAAAAAGAATGTTTTGTGACAGTGGTAATTCATGAGGTATAATTTAGTCTGTCCTAAGGATAGAACTTAAATTAAGGTGAGAACCTTTGCTAATAAAATCTCAGGAATCTGTAGGTCCCTGGCTCAATCTTACAACTTTTCTACATAGCCAAATGTCAACCACTGCTGGCTCTTCAATAAGAGCTCATCCACTGCTTCTCAGCCGGGAGGACTGAGCCAGCAGAATCCCAGGAGACTGTGGCCAGAGCTCCCTAGTGCTGTTGGAATCTCGTGAGTACAGAGCCCATGACAGATAAGGAGAATCTGGGATTGCCAGAGCCAACGCTTGGCAGCTATCAAGTAGTGTGTGAACCTGGACAAGGTACAGATCCGTCAACTGTTGTAGACTTCTGGTCTGATTCTTAGTTCTCCTTGGGTACTCCCATACCACAGGAGAAGGCAAGGCTCGGTCTCACCAGTACTTTCTTAGGAGCACAGGGTTGACACCAGCCTCTTGGAGAGGTTACACTGACTATAGTGGCACAGTGAAGTAACAAGCGGCTCAGAGTCACCTTGTGGAAAGGTCTCCCTCCACGCTTCAAGGTTCATGCTAGGGATGTCTTCACAGGACTCAAAGTCCTGGGGGAACTTTCCAGTCCGGAAGGCATCCACAGGTACCCTGGTGAGGCCGGTGTTGTCACAGATAACCCGCGATAGCGAATGCTTCTCCAGTTCCTGCCTCTGAGCATCTGTGAAAACATGGCTGTTCTCCCACCAAAACCTGCATGGGAGAGGGCACATGGGTGGGCAGTAGGATATAGTGCTACCTCTGTTTCCTCCTGCACTCAGCATCCCCATGGAGAAGATGGTCAGGGGGTGAGCACAGCATCCAGGGGCTGCGAGAATTGGGCATTAGAGAGTGGAGTAAAGAAGGGTAGGGGCCAGTCTGTGGAGTGGGGGCCGTCTGCAGGGCAGCATAAGCTGACCAGCTCCACTGTGCCTGTTTGGGTGCATCCCTGCTTCAGAAACAATGGGACAACAGAAAAGTCAGCCACAGGAAGAGGTGCTGGCCGTTCATCCCAAGGCCCAAGTGGTCTTGTCCTTCCCTCCAGGCCAAAGCCGACAAAGAAAAGAAATGTCAGTTCTTCCTATGAATGTGAATAGCATGGACAAAGCTCCGGTTTCCCATAGCTGTTTACTGTATAAAGACCGTCTCCATTCCTAGTTGGGAACACATCCTTGGCTTGTGGGAAGGAACTGAAATCTGCAAAAGGGCTTGGACAGCATGGGAAGGAATCTTCTATCAGTTGCCTGATGAAAGAGTTGCCTTTTGGGGACACTCAGTCATAAACACAAGAGTTAGGAATCACCATATCACCACAGCAGCTACCAGAGCCTCTTGGACTTTGCCATTGGACTTGACCCAAAGACCATGTCATACTCAAGGGAGTCCAGGAAGTGACCTGCCTCCAAAGTTTGTGTCTTCTCATTCCCTAATTATGTCAAGCTACATGGCTTTTCTAACGATATAGTCTCAAGGGAGATAAACTCCCCCAGGATTTCTTCCAGGTGTCTCATCTCTGTGAGATGCTGTTTCCCAGAAATTTACGGCAACATTCATAGCAAAGGTAAGGAAAGAATCCTAAGTCTGTGTCTAAACGCTGAGACACTTATGAAAAGCAGTCTTATAGGGAGAGAGGGATGGATGGAGACAAGAAGGCAAGAAGACAATCTAGTATGGGGGTAACTATCTAAAAGAAAGGAAGAAATGCGTCCTTTGTTCTTCCCTCGTTGTTCCATGATTCTAATGTTTCACGTCATACCCCCAATCACCATCTGGCGTCAGCTCATGAGGTGCACAGGTGTAACAACACCTGCTTTTCTCGCCCCCTCTGGGGGGAGCTCAAAATTCTAGACTGAAATGGAGGAAGAAGCAAGTGCAAGGCAGGCAGGAGCCTCAGCCAGCTGTGTGGGGATGGAGGGAGAGGCATGGTGGGGAGTGGGCCCGACTCTTCAGCCACATTCTGCTCCTGGGTACCAGCTGGGGTCAACATCTGCATTTAGGCAGGGCTACCTGTCCAGTGTCAGCAGTGCCAGCGAATGACCAAGGTGGACGTGATAGATTGTCACAGTTTGAATTTTGTTATGTGCCTTCTCATACACATGACTAGAAATATGGGGAAACAACAGTAAAATTTCTTTTCCTTTTCTTTTTTCCGAGGCAGTTTTTTTTTTTTTCCTGTCGCTTCGGAGCCTACCCTGGGGCAAGCTTGTATAGACCAGACTGGCCTCTAACTCACAGAGATCCGCCTGCCTCTGTCTGCCTCCAGACTGCTGGGATTAAAGGCGTGCACCATCACCACCCCGCTACAACAGGAATATTTCTAAGTGAACAGGATATTCTATACGCCTTGTGGTCCTTTTGTTTGGTGTCAACATTGTTTTAGGGTTGGGAATGGTTTGTTTGAGAGAAAACCTTCCCAAGGTCACACATAAGCACTTGAGCCCATATCTAGCTGCTTCACACAAGCCTTATGTGGAACACTGTTACACCCAGCATGCTTTGCCCCAAATGTGGAGAGGCTTTCCACAGGTACTCACCTGTCTCCATCCCTCAGGGCTTTCATCTGTTTCCCAATGATGCATGCAAACAGAGGGCCAGTGCGGGCCCCCAGCAGAAAGGCTTCAGCCAGGCCTCCCATCCAGACGTCGATGTTGTCTGCGTGCTTGTACAGCTCCATGATCTTGTTGACCACGGTTTGGTTGGTAATGGCCCTGCTCAGCTCAGCTGGTGTTTCCAGGCGTGACAAGCCACAGAACTTTCTCCATTCATTGTAGCCTGTACAAGAAAGAGGGGCTAGGTCTGTTTTTACAGGGACTTAGGGTTCACTAGTCTACCCATGGGTTCTGTTGATCCCTGAAAGCTAGAGTTGCAGAGACATAGCCCTGTGTGCATCCCCTGATGCAGAGTGACCATTGTGTTATTGTGGTCTGACTTTCAGCCCTATGGAGTTTAACAGAACAGGCCATGCAGCACAGACTTAGGGGTCTTATAAAGAGTGTATTTGGGGGGTGAATTAGGATAGAAAGGGTGCCAAGTCAAGATACTTTAGTGGGTTCATACTATAATTGGACCCGTCTTCTCCTACTGAACTGTGGTGACAGCCCCACCCTCTTCAGAGTGCTGTTGATGCTCCAGGAGGACACTGAGAGCTCATGGAGACAAGAGCACACCAGCACGCACGCGCGCGCGCATACACACACACACACACACATTCACAAACATAGGCACTCTCTTATACGCACAAAGTGAAGAAAAATCAGCAGTGGGAATTTAAAAACTGGTTTGTGAATGCTGCCCTCCGATGGTATTGAGTCAGTCCTCCATGACAGCAGCTCCCTCCATTCTGATTTAGGAGAAGCTGGTATCTGTTTGGTGGTGGTGGTGGTGGTGGTGGTGGTGGTGGTGGTGGTGGTGGTGGTGGTGGTGGTGTGTGTGTGTGTGTGTGTGTGTGTTTGTGAGATAGAGAGAGAGAGAGAGAGAGAGAGAGAGAGAGAGAGAGAGAGAGAGAATTTATATCTGATGCAGCTAATCACCATACCACCTTTTTCAGAGTCATAGCTCCTGAGCTTTCTGGCCAACAAGTCTGCTCTACCTCAACTCAAGGTCTGCTGTACATGCTGGACCTGGTGAGGGGCAACTCTCTGGTCATTCCCCTATTTTTTCTCTCATTCCAGATGGGTCACCTCAGTTATCTTTCTCAGGAGCTATATAACAAGGTAACAGCCTCCTCCTTTCCTGTCTACCTAGTTTTGATGAATTCCATAGCATTTCTACTTCATCACAGCCTGTTTTAGGTCAGACCTCCCAGATCCCACAGTCTCGTGACAAGCAAAATAAAATTGGTGGATTTGATTTATCTAGAAACATATATTCCCACTGCTTGCCACAGAGGTTGGGGAATATTTCAGTTACTTCATTAAATATCTTTCAGGATCATCGAAGAATGAAAAGCAAGTGAATTACAGTCAAAAATTGGGAGAGAGATTTTTCAAGGGCCACATGTAGCAGCTATATACTTCCACAGCTC